AAGGCAGGCGAATCAAAACACTTATTTTTCCACACAAAACAGTGTTTAAGTCACTCTTATTTTTGATATCCAAAGTATTTCTCTGGCCTTCATAATCAATGGATCCTAAAACGCTATCAGGGAAACATTAGATCAGTGTTTCTCAACCTTGGCCACTTGAAGATGTCCGGACTTCAACTCCCAGAATTCCCCAGTGAATGCGAATGCTGGCTGGGGAATTCTGGGAGTTGAAGTCCGGACATCTTCAAGTGGCCAAGGTTGAGAAACACTGCATTAGATCAACACATTTCCTGGACTTCAGCTCCTGTGTTGTTCTTGAATGTTTCCTCAATAAATTCCGACGCGCCCTAAAAAGTTGGCTTTTCCAGCAAGCCGGCCTGGCCTGAATAGAATAAAATACAGGATTAATTTGGTTGTTAATTTTTAATTTTTAAATTTTTATTGTAAATATCAATTGGGGTTTTTTTTTTGGATACTTTATTTAATGTCCCTTTTAATTTTTGTGATGTGTTTTCTTTTATGTTGTACGCCGCCCTGAGTCCTTGGGAGGATGGCAGCATATAAATCCACTAAACCTAAATTTATTCAATAAGGTTTGGAGGCATTTTCCTGGTTTGTTCTAATCTGTGCTCTTGTCATTTCCCTCTTGGTAGGTTTCCTCAAAGGATGCCAGGAGTCCTTTTTCTGCCCTCCTCTCCCATCCCAGAAGCGGGAAGCGATACGACGTTTGGGTTTTGGGACTTCCAATAAAATTATTTTGGAATTTGACCAACCATTCTGGAAGCCGGACACTGAAATAGTTGAGGTGCTGTGGGAAAACGAGTCGCCTCTGGAGGAGCGCCCAGTTGATTTGAGAAAGACCTGGTTCCAGAAGATCGCTGGCTACGTAGTTCTCCAGCCACCTGAGAGGTGAGGGGAGGGGGGGGTTGAAATGGGCTTCCTGGGGAGGGAAGCTCTCGTAGGAGCAAAGGTTGGATCATGCCTTGAAGCTCAGAGCAGAGGGTGCGGCTGGGCTGAAGCAGGAAGAGCAAACAAGTTATAGTACTCTGTAACCCATAATGACGCTTGCAAGCTTTGTAGAGTTGCTACCCACCTACTGATGCTGTGTTATTTTTACTATAGATCTTACAACTTGGAGGAGGAATTTAATTTATTATTTATTTATTCTGAAGTTTATTTGTCGCCCGCCAGTCAGGTGAAACTAAAAGACCTTCTTGGATGAGAAGTGAAATGTTTTCCCCCCCAAAAAACCAACCCAAAAATCCAGTTTCTTTTTGGAAAAAGCACCCTTGGGACTTGCTTTGCATTGTTTTTCCTCCCGCCTTTGAATTTACAGGCACGGCCATGTCCTTTGCGGCTTCATCCCTGGGAGAGAATCTGAGTTTATGGAAACCCTGTCAGATTCCGAAGTTCTTACAACTTTGGCTCAAATATTTCGTAAAGCAACAGGTATGTGGTCTTTCTGGGCAAGTGACGGATGATCTGTAGCCATGCCTTAGCACTACTGTTATTGTCTATTAAATGATACGCCAGCCATTTCCCGGTTCGAGGCAGCTCTGGGGGCAGATAGCTCAGGATTCTGCCAGGAAGGTGGGCCTAAACTTTCTACCCAGTTTGGGAGGGAGGGAGGATTGGAGGAAGTCCCACTCGTCCTGCCTTCCCTGAAGGCCGCAATTTCCTAGTGGACTCTGTGGGATCAAATTGGCAGAAAAGGTGTAATTCGAATGAATTCCAGAGTAGAAATTGAAAAGATAATTTGCTCTGTTTTGGTCAGGAAATCCACAACTGGCTCCTCCGAAGAATATACTGAGATCCCGATGGCACAGTGAGCCTTGCACCAAGGGATCCTACAGTTACATAGCTGTGGGAAGCTCTGGGGATGACATTGATCGGCTTGCTCAGCCTCTCCCCGAGGACCCCTCCGGCTCCAAGGTAACCACGGTGGGTCTGGAGCCCTGGGCTGAAAATGTTACACTGGAACGTGAAAAGGGTTTTGATGGATAGAGAATTGGTTAAGGCTTTGTGCCACCTTTGTTTAAATAACTCTGGTATGGTGGACATACCTAGTACTCCTCCCTCCTCCTCCTCCTTCCCCCATGACATCCCTGTGAGGTGGGTTGCGCTGAGAAAGAATGACTGCCTCTGAGTCACCCATCTGGCTTTGATGCTTCAGGTGGGACTCCCAGTCCCCTGGTTCCCAGCGAGCTGGTTCTCTGCTTGAGTTTGACAAGCCAGTGTTGATTGGCTGATTATTCTTGTCAGTGTCAGGGCCGAGCATATCGTTCAACACTGACCCACAAACACTTCTCCATAAATAGAAATGGAATTATTAAATGATAAATGAAATTGAGGAACCAACCTCAGAAGCACCAGGAAAACATTCAGAGAGCAAAGAAAAGGCTTTGGACTGTGCCCTGAAGCAGATTTCTGCCTGCCTTCCAGTGCGGTACTTTGATTGATTGATTGATAGATAGCTGGAACTGTTCTACCTTTGGACCTGGCTGGGCAGGCCCAGGAATAACTTTGCCCTTCCTCCTTCCTCCTAGGTCCTGCCCCAGCTCCTCTTTGCGGGGGAGGCCACCCACCGCTCCTTCTTCTCCACCACCCACGGGGCCTTGCTGTCCGGCTGGAGAGAAGCGAACCGGCTCCTCCACCTCTACGACTCGCTCCTGGAGGCTCCGCGTGGGAGGCTGGAAGCCGGCAAGTGACACAGCTGTGCCTTTTTCTGCGCTACTTTCCTCACCAAAGATCAAGAAACGGTTGGGAATTCCTTTAATTCGCCCAATAAAGTTCCAGGAATCCTTGCACCAGAGTTAATTACTGGCAGTATTTTTGCCCAAAGATACGACAACACCAATATCCCCAACGGTGTTCATTATCCCATTTAAATAACCTTCTGCTTATGTCGCTGTTTCTACCTCATCTGTTCCCAAAATGCTCCTGGAAGCCACCAACCGCCATGGAAAATGAGCCTTTAATTGCATTGGCTAAATTTATATTAAGCCACAAATAAGGAAACAACATCTTGGCTTACCTAGTCACTGATACAAGCATTTTAAGCCATTTTGGGAATTATCTGGCTTTGACTTATTACATGAAAGAACCTAGTCTGTATGTAAACCTAGTTTATAGCTTGGTCTGCTATACCAAAGTGATGATGTGATATGGATTTGCATCCTGCACGAACCCACCTGTCAAACGTACTTTTTATAATGTTCCCACGTTATCTGCTGCCGAGGCCCATCCTTTCAGAGAGCAAGGAAGCCTCTCTGCCAGTTGTCTTCTCACACTGTGCTGAGCAATGTGTGTGTGTCTGTGTTGCTTAACTCTATGAATCCAGTCATTTTAACTACGATCTGTTTGAAACATCTTCATGGGTTATTAAGCTGATTTGTTTGAGAGAAGCTCTATTTAACCTTAGGCATACTTATTCACCAGTACAAACCGGGGGTTATTAAAAGCAGGTGTTCCATTCTATATTGCCGTATAGCAGGGGTGTCGAACTGGATTTCTTCCCGGGCCAGATCAGCACTGTGGTCCTCCGGGGGGCGGGGGGAGAGGAGGAGCCAGGACAAATGCCTCCTGCAGCACTCTGCTGGCCAAAAACGGGCCCCACGGAGGCCTCCTGTGGCCCCCGCACAAACAGTTTGAGGCCACACAACCCATTTTGCCTGTCAGAGTGCTGGTGGACAATGGCCCGTTTTTGACGGCAGACACCCCCTTGCTGTACAGGAACAAAAAGCTTCTCCCTGCATTTACATGGGATACTTATCCACTGCCAAATAGTTTCCTCAAACCAATTTTCTGATTTCATGTCACCTCCTGAACATTAAACTAACCACATTGGTGTTTACTAGAATGCAGTGTGGCTGCCTCTCCACGCTCCTTCCCCTCTCCACTTCTGATCATCACTTCATGGAAGGATCCTTGTACTCTTCTTCGCAACAGGATGGGTCCAATGTTTGACTGCTGCCTTGCGAGATGCTTTTAGGGGCTCTTCTTCTCCTGGTATTGAAATTCCCTGCTGCTCTCCCATCCAAGTATTAAGTAGGCCTTCTTGACGTGTTCTTACAACCTCTGTGTAGACACACAGGCTGCCTTGGTCAAGAAGAGACACTCAGGGTATTGTCCGCAGAGCTCCATTCTTCTTTCTCATTCAGTGTAATCTCTTCTAGCAAAGTTGATTGAAAGAAAATGTGGCCAAATGCTATAAAACATTAATATCTGAAATATGCTTTCATTGCTTTCCCCAAAACGGTCACGTGATTTGTATTCTATAAACCAAACCCTTTGTTAGAAATTCTGGTTTTCAGAAACTCAGTGGAAAAAACATTTGTGGTGTAAGGGAGTAAGATTGTGACGCACGTTCATTAATCACTTTTTAAATATTTTATGACATTGCTGAGTTGATCTTACAACAGTGATGATAAAGTCATTGTCCACTCAGACTTACAAATATGCAGGGAGAAAAATCTTTTTATGCAAGGCTCAAATTCTTCAGAGTGTCCTGAATAAAGCTTAGAGCATATTTATGGAGTATATTCTTCTCACGGAGAGAAAACAGAGAATCCTCTGGCTGTTATTCTCCTATCGGTGCTTTTGCAGGGCAAAAAGCCTTCGTCTACAACTCCAGCGTTGGAGGAGATGTGCCTTAAATATTTGCCCTGTCACTTTCTTATATTTCCCAGCCTAACCACAGCTGAATTCATAAGACACGCTAAGTCGCATTTTTGTTTGTTTTGTGCAAAATCAGCTCGGAGTTTATAGCCCACGTAGCGCAATGTGTGAATCCAGGAAGTTGGGTTCTCTATTACTCAGCTAAGCTAAGCAGGCTTAAGTGCAGAGTGAAATAGAGTCAGAATTAAACGCAGCAGAAAGAATCTCCACCTGGCGATTTCAGGAAGCGCTGAATGATCACAGCCCCTTACAATTCAAAAGAAGAAAACCAGGTTGGATACAGTGCCAACACCATCCACTGTCAGAATGTGGCTGGGAATTAGGGAATTATGCTTAAGTCAACCCAAGCAAATTGTACAAGCACAACCTACGGTGTGTAAAGCCAGTCACGCTCCCCGTGGTTTAATAACAGCTGCACACCTGGAGCCTGTTGGGAGACGGGTCTTGGAGCCTCAAAGGGGGTGCCGGCCCCTTCCGAGGCAGCCTGGTGTGCTACCCGGTCCAAGAGCAGCTAATACCAGTTGGTGCAGCAGATGAGGAACCGGGCGTCCTCCAGCGGGGCCAGGAGCCAGGCCTGGCAGTAGCTCCTGGGGCAACCGGCCTCCTCGGGAGGCACCGGAGGCAGCTGCCCAGGGCTGCAGTCGGCATCTTTCTGGATGGGCTGCTCTTCCAGGTGGGCCTCGGTGGGATCCAGCTCAGCTGCTGCCAAGGGGTCTCCGTGGTGGTCGGAGGAGGTCATTGCGAGGGGCTGGGAGGAGGGAGAGAGAGAGAGAGGAGGACTAAGGGCAGAAGCCCCACCTGGACTCCACGGGGGATTTTCAAGCCCGGGGAAGGGGGCTTTGCCCCACCTTTGAAAGAGGAGACAGAGACGATGTAGGTAGGCGGAAGGAAGGAAAGACAGAGAACTATAGTGCAGTGTTTCTCAACCTTGGCAACTTGAAGATGTCCGGACTCCAACTCCCAGAATTCCCCAGCCAGCATTCGCTGGCTGGGGGATTCTGGGAGTTGAAGTCCGGACATCTTCAAGTTGGCCAAGGTTGAGAAACACTGCTATAGTGGATGGATGGATGGAGATAGATAATGGTAGATGATAATGATGGATGGACAGACGGGATAGACAGACAAGTCAAGGGGGAATCTCTCTGCCCGGGGGGGGGGAGGGGCTGGGCCGAGGGGGTCCCCCAAGGTCATCCAGCCGTTTCCCTGCTGCTGACCCAGCCTGTTCGAGGCCTGCTTGGCGAGGCTCCCGGGGGGTCTCGGGAGGGCAGGTTGGGGGGCTCAGCCGCCCTCTCCGCCGAGGCGAGAGAGCGGCCTCACCTGCTGGTCCTCCTGGAGGGCTCCTTCCCGGCGCCTTCGGCCTCCAGCGCTGCCCAGCGCCCACAGCCGCTTCCGCCTCCTCCGACGGGCGACTGAGCGTCACAAGCGCCTCCTCCGGTGGGAGGGGCTCCGCAGACGTCATCCGGGGGCGCCCGCGGGGGCCTCGCTGTCGTCACCCGAGCGCGCCGCCTGAGCCGGAGCGGCCTGAGGGGGCCCCGGGCGGCGCAGGATGCGGCTGGCGGCGCTGCTGAGGGCGGCGGCGGGAGGCGGCGGCTGGCGGGAGCGCTTCGACTGCGGC